CCTCAACCTTTCCTGTTCACATGGCAGTCACATGGCCATGAACCACATCTCGTCAGTAACTTGGCAAGTATAGACATGGGTTGACTAGTGCGTGCTACCTCCCACTTCTTAAGTCCACGTTCGCCATACATGTGCACGCAGTAGTCAACTCTGAAGTTACCTTCGTCATACACACTGGTTTGATGCACCTTTCTCTACATTGTTGTGTAAGATGACACATAAGCTATGCAACAGTGGTCTGAAACGCAGGCTCCGCGCTCGAAAAATCTACCGATGTTCGGACTCCATCTTTACCAAATGACTATTGTTGTTCAAACGCTTCTCTCTCTCTCTCTCTTTCTCTCTCTCTCTCTCTCTCTCTCTCTCTCTCTTTCTCTCTCTCTCTCTCTCTCTCTCTCTGTAAAAGAAAAACAAAAGTTGAGTGCATGTTGTAGTATAATATTGCAACTGCGCCCACCACTTATTGTTCTCGGAAAAACGATCAGCCTTTTAATTTTTGTTTTTTTAACAATGAGTAATTCCCTGTACACTTCTAGAGTACATATCTATTCAACAAAAAACTGTCCTCCCTCTCTTTTGCATGCTTCTTCGAGTCCCACTGTGATTTACAAAAACGAGGAACAATGTGAACGGTGTCAATGATGGGATCAATCGTTATGACGCTACTGTGCTGATGACCGTTCACCTTCTCCCATTGCAACTTCTTACAACCTGTTGTGTGTTCCCTTTCGCTATCCACCTCTTTGTACCATTGCACGAAACAACACTTGTGCATCTCCGCAACACCATCCGTGCAAGCGTTCATGACGAAAAACATGGCTACTGATGCATACCATATGTTGCCATTGCCACCTCTCACTGCAACATCGCTGTGCACGGCTCTCCCGTGGAACTGTGGTGAAGCTCTTGCCGTCTGAACGCTTGCGCCCCTGTGCGTCCCATCGTATGTGCAGGCGATAGTCAAGTGTGTTCGAGTGTGTATGACTTGGTCATCAGATGGAGGTTGACAACCCATCTCTGTCATGAACGTCGTAAGTGCAACTCGAAAATCCTCTCTGCGGGGAAGCTCATTAAGTATTCTCAACGCCACATTACTCATACCCTCTACGCCTGGCAAATGCACATCGTCCATCTGGAACCACCGGAGTTGTAGAGTTGCTGTGTTGCGCGTTGCCAGGGTATTACTTCCGGTGGTCATGCACTCTATCACGGATGACCAATTTTCTGCCGACCTCTTCCTGCGTTTTCTCACACTCTCCATCTCATCCTGCAAAGCCAATGAGCGTCGGACATGATTCACCATCTGGGAAGCAGCCTTACGCTTGTTTGATGACAAATATGGCTGTTTGCAGAACCTCTGATGATTATGCTCTCACACATCAGCTGCGAACGTGTCGGGAACACCAGATCGCTCTATGCTTGTTCTCAAATGCATAAGGTCATGCAACTTCAGAATTTTTCAATCAGAGGTCTGATATTTTTTCATCTTCGTTTTTATACTAGTTATGAAATCACCTATCAATGTGTCACAAACATCGAGAGAGGACGCTGTGTGGGTTGACTTACGAAACACGTGTATGTACATTTCCATGAGTTTGATGAAATAAGTGGAAATGGATTTGCCTGTCGCACGTGGGATGATATCACAAATAATAAACACGCAAACTGTCATAACAGACCGATTTTGCTTCGCTTCAAATCGTCCTTCCCGTGAAAAGAAATCACAACCTGTGGCTACGGGCAACACAAGCTGCGGGTATGTCCGTGCGGATCTCTCACTGATGCTCTGCAACCTCGCATCCATCTCGTGCAATATCTCGCTTTGCGCGGTATCTGGCAACTTCTTATAAGCAGCTGCCTTGAATGCATCTATCATATGCAAAAAAATGCCGTGTTCAATGGTGTGGATACGGTCTGGTTGCAAAGCGAGATGGTAATCTAGTTCAGGATCGTCACCATGCGGACCCCTGTAGAATTCCCATAGACTGTTCTCTTGAATATGGTTATGCATGTCCAATTCTGACATTCGTGCCTCAGCAGCACGACGAATGTCGTTGTCCCCACTGTTGAAGCAGTCCGCAGCAAGTTGCGTCTCTAGCGTCTGCGATCTCCTACAGTTGGTGAAATCGGCGATGACATCCTAATCGTCTTTGGACACTGTGCATGTTGGACAAACACCGAATTTCACAGTTGCAAGGGCACACCTTTCAGGATAGTCCTGTATATAGTTCATGACTAAAGGGTGCACTGTTATCTCACCGAACCGCTCCGTTGTTACCATCATGCCGTCATGGGATGCCTCCTTTGCGGACTGCAATACTGTTGACAACGCTTTATGCAATATCACAGTTTTCCGTTTTCTAAACGCGGTGGAGTGCAGACCCCAGCCCTTGTCACGTGGCCGGTGTTGAATCACTGGAAGATACACAAGCAGTGTGACATCTGATGGGCGATGAGCGATTGACATCATCAGAGGATACGCTGTCTGCTTTTGACGACCGTCTACATGAGTCTTGTCTGAATACAGAGACAGAGGGATGACATAACGTGTTCTACCATTCGTGTGCACACCCTTGTCCGCTCTGATAACAGTTTGGACATGGTGAGTCAACTGCCTCGTGCGAGAGTCGCAGATTTCGATGTCCTCCCCGGGATGTTGTATTTCGAGGCAAGACACCGTTTCAACGTTGTTCAGTGCAGCACGCACGAGGTCAGCGAACGTTGTGCGCCAGTCGTGGTACCACAGAATGATATGCGCTTCTTCGGGTCAATCATCACTGCGTAGATTCTTCTCTTGCCACCCTGCAGCTTCAGCCTGACGGCCTGCCCATGTCAGACACTCACGACTGTTATGAAATGCGATATCTCTGGGGTCAAATCTAGGATTTTTTAGGAGTGACAACAGACAGTCAACGTCAGTTTGGGACATGCCCACACCGCCCCTACATGAGAAAATCAATGCCGCTAGTTTGCGGGAGCTGTCGAATGCCTCTGCGTGTTCTTCTTGCTGTTCTTCGGATGCGCAGTCCGCTTGTACATCAGGAGGGGGCTCAACCTCCTGACTTTCCCCACTGACCAGGCAATAGGACCACTAATCGACAGTCCTCCGTTGACCTCCCCAACTATCTCTTCTGTCATGCTCCTCTCTTCCACAGTGGAGGGACATGCCCGCGCTCGGTGCGAGTTCATCGTCCGCAATGACATGAAAGGCCGGCCACAGTCACACACGTGATTCGCGTCTTCCATTGCATCTACGTGCAAGGTCTTACGAATTACTGTCAGTTATGACCTACCGCCGATAGAGGATGCGTATTTGGTTCTAAATTCATGCGTTCCTTTCACACTCCCCCCTCCCCCGTTCCCGCTCTACCTCCCGTTGACTCAACACCGCTGCTGTGCACTGCTCACAGATTCGAAGACAACGACAACATTCAAACTGAAATTAAAATCAGAAATTGTGGTGAATGTTTTGCCTTTTTTTTTTTTTTTTCTTACTTCGAGCCATGCAACCTTTTCTTTTAAGGCGTCACATCCTTG